TTGCACCCAAAAGATGAACTGCTGATGCAAGTGACTTGAATATCCGATTTAAAATGTGTGAACAAGTATTTGTTCTGTTTGTTTGTTTTAATTTTCGAATTATTATATTTCATATATTTGCCTGATTCTCCCTTTTAGTTTCTACAGCTTTGCTTATTCATGCACTTTTGCTTTTTGTGGCTTTCCCTTTGGCCAAAATGTCAAATTTAAATGTAAAGGAATTCGAAATGCAAACTTAGGTGAACCATAAAGTGATATTAAATATGTACATATTTCACTTATGAAAGTGTTGCACGAAGCAAATAGTTCGAATTTCTATCTTCAATTCTTTTCACTCCAATTAATGATAATTGTTGAACGACCCGCATTTTCTCGCCGTGTGTGAGTTTGCTTTCATGGTTTTATCCCTGTGCTTAATAATCTGTTTAAGTTTCGAAATGCAGACGGCTGAGTGGCAGACAGAATGCTTCACCAGTCGGGCCAACTTATTGTTCAAATTGTGCCACTGGCAACAAACACTCTCACAGATGCAGATGCACGTACACACACACACACACACACATACATCAGAGAGATACACCAAACACATACAAGTGACTGCATAATAAGCAAGTGCTTGAAAGGCCTCAAAAGCAAACAACAACAGCAATAGCAACACGAGTGGAACAAGCCACCTCAACGATTCTGTTTGGGTTGCTGATGATGCACAGCCCTTAGTGGATGGATAGGGACAATAGGGAGTTTAGGAGGGCTTTCGGGGGTTTGCGAGGGTTTGCGGGGGTTTCGGGGGCTGGCGAGGGTGCCAGGTGAAAAGAGGGGCTGCTGCTGGTGTTTGTGCATGTTTGCCGCACTCTGGATGTACGCAAATTTGCATAGATTCAAGCATCACGTTCGCGTCTCACCTGTTCAAAGAGGGAAACCCCTCCGTAAAAGGGGATTTCAAAAGAAGGGAAGGGAAAATCCAGATGATACGGGTTACCGAATCCAGAGTTCACACCGCATACCGTAACTAACAATTTCCCAAGCAATTTTTTATTTAATAAACCAAATCAGCGAGAAGTTGAAATGTAAAATATATCTTGAAATCCATAAAACACAAGGGTTGCCTCTAATCGATTGCCGACACTGGGCTCGCTTCTTTTTTATTGCCATCATCTCTTAAAGATGACTCAAGTTACCCCCCACTTCCTCAACCATTCTGCCACCCCCTTTTGCAGTGACGCCCACGTCAACATTTTTGGAATTGATGATGTCGACGCACATTATGAGGTTCAATATCCTGGATAATGACGACAAATTGCGCAATATTTGCACCAGACATGCGGAGGAGGCTTTGCAAGAAGGGGAAGGGAAGTGGGGTGGAATGTCCTGAAGGAGGTTCTCAAGTGTCCTTGGTCACTGACTCCACGATTCGTACTGCTGCTGCTGCTGCGGTTACTGCGGTCAAACATGATTGATGATCGCTAATTAATCCGACGGGCGCCTTGACTTCGCCCCATTCCGATTCGCTCGCAAATTGTGTAATTAATTCCCATCTCGAGTGTCCCTATAATTATGACGCGCACACAACCTTTCAAGTTTTTCCTTTTTCGCCCAGACACTCGAGAGGGCAAGTCGAGTACTCGATGTTTTGAAGTGCTTTGGGTATCGAGCTACATAGTTTGTTTAGGCCTGAAGAGTAAATTTAGAAATTGAATGATTTTCCTCACTTGTGCCTTTCTTGTTCCTCATAGAGTTGCCTTAAATGTTGGTAAAAAAATCTATTTTTACAAAAATCTTTCTTTGAATTTCACAATTTCTCTTCCTTATTTATGCCATTCCCCATGGACCATCGATATTACCCTATTTATCACTCCGTCTCGAAGGATTATTGAACTGAATCGAGTCGAAGCAATTTTAAGGCCACAATCTTTCACGGTGAGTGTGGTTTCCTTTCGTCTTCATTTCCCCATTTGCCATTTGCCAATTCCCGCGTTCCCCTTCCGTTTCCATTCCTATCGTTTCGTTTCGTTCGCTCGGTTCGCTTTGCTTCAGTGGCAGACAGAATTGACAATCATTTTACACTTGGCGGGATATTATGTAAATTGCTTTTCATATTTGTGCAACATTTAAATTCGCAATCTCACCCACATACCCACTCATACACACACAAACTCACACACAGACACACCGGAATACATTGGGAAAGCGGATGACAGCTGGTTGGGAAAAGAGTGGGCGGTGGAAAAGTGGAAAGTGCGGGTGGCAAGTAAATCACGACTTTGGTAGATGGTGTTGATGTCAAAGCTAAAAGGCGAGGATGGATCCCGGCAACATCATTATAACGATAGGCAGGCAGGCCCCAAAGGCTGATTGAATGTGAAACTGACTGGCTGACTGGATGACTGGCTGACAGGCTGAATGAATGAACGAATGAATGACTGAATGAACAACTGACTGCCGCCCGAAAGAGACGGCAAAAGCCTGAACCGAGCGAGACGGAATTATAGAGCAGAGGCCTCGGGGAGAAATTAACGATGCGTGAAAAGTCTCTCGCCGATTTCAAATAGGGCATGGCCACACTGCAACAAAAAATACCCAATAATTTAAAAACTAAAATATTTTAGGAGCTAGTTTATAAGAAAAACTGCATAAAACCGAATGCTTAGTATTTAAATATAGTTTCTCACTTTGAAATATAATATTTTAGAAGGTAAAAACTATTTTTTTTTCTCCCTGCACCTTTTGATCAGGTGAAAAACCCTTTAATTTAATGAGTACCTGATAGTCGACTTTTTTTCATTATTCGTTATTCATGGCAAAGAAGTAACTTTATCTCTATCTCCGCCCTTTTGGGCGTGTCTGTGTTTTCACATTTCTCTCGGCATTGCCGTTTTTTCTTTTTTTGTTTGTTGGTCTGCTCAGCCTTGGCCAAAAAAAAGGAATAAAAATGACGAAAAAAAGGGAGAAAGCAATCGCAATGTGTCAGTTTTAATGGGCCTGCAATTGCCGCAGGCGCTTGATGTCGGTCGACGTCTATGTCGCTGTTGCTGTTGCTGTTTCTGTTGCTGTCACTTTCTGCCGCCGTGTCCCTGTCTCTTTCGGTGTTTCTGGCCAGGAATCGCTGGAACCGATTTTGTGCTAAGTGCATTTCCAGGCCAACATTCCAACCATATAGCGTTTGCAATTAAGCCCCGGGCCAGAGGGCAATAGACATAAAAACAAGGACTGCCAAATTACAGCCTGTCTATTGGCCATCGGGAAATGGCTTACGACTACAAATAATACATACTTGCAAATAAATGGCAAGTCGAAAGAGAAGTATTCGCAAGGGAATCGAATATACATTTTTTCAGATTCATATGAAATTTACCAACTGCAGTGCCATTAAATAATTGAGCCTCATTTCATTTCGTGCCAAGTAAAAACTGTCCATTAATTAATTTCGGCGGGACCATTGAGCTAATTGGATTAATATAACGCATACGCCCCGTGGCCACGTATGTTGAAAATAAGTGAGCAGACTTTTTTCAGGACACGCACTTTTCCAATTACCTTGAAATACCAAGTATATTAAATTTAATAAAAATTGGTCAAAGAAAAAAATTTTTAAAAGCCTATTTTAAAAATTATACAAAAATAAAAAAGTATATTAAAACCATACCATAAAACTTGAAAGGTTATTTCAATAATGCTTTTATCAATATATGATATCAAATATTTTATGTAAATCGTTATTTAAAAATCTGGTAAAACTTTTTAGCAAATAAAAAGGTTGAATTTCACAATCAGCAAAAAGTTTTTAATTAACCATCGACGTTTCTCTCGTTTTATTGAAAATAATTGAACGAGATTCCATTAAACGTCATTTCCATTTGAATATCTGTCAGGGAACTAATATAATTAACATCACTCATACGCCCAGTGAATCAATGAGAAATGCATTAAATAAATGTACAAAATGATTTCACCCTCGCCACACAAATGCCTTCATTGTTTTTTAAAGTGTTTAGAGTTTACAGACACAAATCACAGGCGTTATCCCCATGACAAGTCAACAAACTGTCCAGATACCTGGAATACCTGATCTTTTATATTCTGTTCGGATGGTTTGGGACTCAGACTCAGATTCATAAATCTGTTGGGTATTTGCTCTTCATTATCTTCGCTTGGACTCACCTGCAAGTAAAGGGAAAGCAGAGTGGGGAAAAGCGTTAGTGAGTGGGTCAAAAATTTGTGTAGACAAGCTGAAAATCTTTATTACACATGCCCACATGTGTGTAAACGGGGGGAATGGCTTATGGCTGTCGGTTTAAAAAGGGCCCATAAACTAGGTCAAAGGTTCGCCCCGCCCATTTGCCCAACCTCCGCATGCCTGGCAAAAATTTAGTTATAAAATCCCAAAATCAGCTTGCCACAGGCAGGGCTCTGCGAAATGTATTTGCCTATTTACAGCCTATTGCACATTTTGATGGCAGCCCACCCAAAAAAAAAAAAAAAAAAAAAACACAAAAAAGTAAGGCAAAAGGAAAAACTTAGTCGAGCGCAAACCAAAAACTAAATTGAATTGTGCCATGGGGATGAAGTGGGTGGTTGGTTTGATGTGTGTGTGTGTTTGGGTGTTTGGATTTTCGGTCTCTCTCCCTTGATCTCTTCTCCATGGAATTTTGTATAAATTTTTGTTTTTTTTTTTTATTTTTTTTTTTTATTTTTTTTTATTTCGGATAGACCGCCCTCTCAACTTACCGAAAATGCTTTGAGAAATACCAAACACTGTATGATGCCCTCCATGGTGTCGCCGGTTAAGCAGAAGGTGCCAGTCAGGTGGCGTCCTTTGCGACCCACCGTTGCCGCCGCCAGCGAGGCGTGGACCAGTGCTCTCTGTTGCCCGCCGCCGACGGCGACTGTTGCTGCTGCACCACCGACACCGCCGCCGACCACTGCACCTGCACCACCGACGCCGCCGCCCACCGTGACAATGCCCTTGCCGGCGGCGGCGGCTGCGGCGGCAGCGGCTGTGGCCACGACGCCGCTGGTGAGCATTCGCGGCAGAGGCGCCGCTCGCATCAGGCGCTCCAGCGAGTCCATGGCGGGATGTATCGTCGGTTATCGTTTATCGACGATCGCTGATCGATGATCGCTTATCGTATATCGGTATAATCGTTGGTTTTTTCTTTTTCCTTGTGTGTTTTGTTCGTACTTTTTATATATCGTTTCCGATTGCTGTTTCGTTATGTTTTCTCGATTAGTTGCACTCGAGCTGTTTGGTTTTTGTTGTGGTTATTGTTTTTCTTAGTCTGTCTGCGCACATTTTACTCAACTGCAAGTAATTTTCGTTTTGGTTTGGTTTTTCGATTTTCGGCTTTCGACTTTGTTTGAAATGGTTTAATAGTTAAAGGAAGAACCCACAAAAACCGAAAAAACCAATCAGAGAAAACTTTGCAATACAATTTGCCAACAAGTAAGTAAATAATAACAAACTAAAGCAAATTAAAAGGGAGGAAAACTACAACTATGGTACATGGTTATCGGTCAACGGCAGGCGAACAACTGAAGCTGCAGCAAAACAAGTGACCCACTAGTCACAACATTCCGTATATAGTTTATGGCCAAGACGGCGAAAGAGAAAGAGAGAGAGAGAGAGAGAGAGAACGAGAAAGAGTACGAGAATGGCAAAACATTGGTAGGAGGTCCATGCGGACTATCAATAACTAGCAGAAAGTAGGCAACGAAAACACCATAAAGAATTGGACGGAATGAGCTGGAGAGCCAGAAATGAACTGCGAAATGCAAAATGTCATTGTGATGACTTTGTGGGCAGCATTTGGGCACTTTGTATACCCAAAAATACGAGCATATTCTCCAAGAAGGCAACATGACAGCAACAGCAACCAAGAGCATCAGTCTGCCATATTCCCACCACCATCCACACCCACCGCCCCCTTCTTCGCCTCCTCATTCTCCTTCGAACTTTTGACCGCTGGCTGGGGACTAATAAAATTCAAGTTAAATGGTTGTTAAAAATTTATAGCAGACGCCTCGGCTTCCGTGTGCCATTTTGACGGCATTGAGAAAACAGCAACAGACGTTACAAACAGAGGCGTCATCAGGGGGTCGCGAGGGTCGCGAAAGAAGAAGAAAAGGGGGTCACATTTTGGGAAGTGGAGAAATTGACGGGGGGTCCTCTGACATTCCGCAGGCAAGCCGCAAAAATTTCGGGCACGTTTTCTGATTTCCAAGTAGTTACCAATAAAATTCTAGATATATGGTATATTTGTTTTAATGTAACCAAAGTTTAAATATTCAATTGGGTAACCATAAAATATTTAACCTTCGGTTACACCACCAGCTAAGTTTCTGAAATAGTTGTGAAACTATGTTTCAAGACATCAATTTAAAGTAAGCTGTAACTTTTGAAATTCCGCTAACCTTTCTACTTTATACTTTGATATAAAATTCTCCGAATAATTTTCCCTTAAACGAAAGAAAACCAAGTGGAAACTTTTGCCGCCTGACCAAAGCCCTCATATGTTTGCATTTTCTCCTCTTTTTTTCCAACTTCTAGCAGCAGTTACAGTTGAAGAAAAATAAGCATACAACTGCTTGACAGTCAGACAGCCATTGCTGGTCTTGGCTCCTTTGGCTTGGGTTATAGCTTCTCCTATAGCTCCTGCCATGGCTCTTCCTATATGGTAGTTATAGCTTTTCCTACAGCTCGGTAGCTTGGGCTTTGGCTTTGGCTTTGGCTTTGCCAGCCGTCATCCGTTGGCTCTTCCGCTTCCATTGGTCCTGGGCGCTCGGAGCGTAATTTATCTGCCGGAGGAGCGGCGCAAAGAGCAGGGGAATCCTGGCTGTCAACAGGAGTCCCACGTCCCGACTCCTCGTCCTGGAATGGGTGAAATTTATGCAAACCGACGTATGGCCAACACACACACACACACACACAGGATGAAGAAGGCACGGAGAATATATATGTGTGTGTCTGTGTCTGCGGAAAAGAGAAAATAAACGACTGACGGTGGGGAAGGGGAAAGGAAAGAGGCCAGTGTATTAACTGCAGCTAAATCAAACTTTTGAGCCAAGTTATGAATTATTTGCCATTGTGCAGCAGGCGAAACATTCCCTTGCCGCTTTGACTTTGTCCCTTTTCTGGCAGGAAGCCGAGAGGTTCGGCTCCCTTTTGTTTTTAGCCCCCCTTTCGCCACCTGGAAAAAGACATTACGATCCACTTGCCGAGTCATCCGAACCCCCAAGTCAATTTGAACAACATTTTGCCGCAGCTCTGGTTATACAAACAAGATTCCACATTCCGTTTCTTGGCTGGGCTCTCGTTCTCGCTTGACTTTTTCGAAGGGTTTTCGGCTCCTCTATTCTATTCTTTTTTTTTCCCCCTTCTGTCTGTAGCTGTGATGATTTGCCATTTGGGGACGAACGGTCCGAGAGGCACGTAAATTGAATGGCCGGTGCCAAAGGTTCCAGGGGTAAACAAAAAACACCGACACAACAACAACAACAACAACAGCGGCGAAAAAAAAGAATGAAGGAAAAACTCTGGCAAAAATTAAGTGAAAATAATAAACCCTTCGCACACATTTACTTTGGGGGAAAGAAGTGGAAAATCGAGGGGCGGGCGAGTGGTGGGTGTTTGGTAATGGCAAAGGCAAAGCAAAGGGGCATTACACACACGTTGACCAACGGAAGTCCTGCTGCCTGATGGCATTACAGTTAATTAAAGGTGAACGGATAGTCACAGACTCCTTCTATCGCACAGTGGGTCCAGGATATTAAATTTATAGAAAATCCTTAAGAACACCCAAAGGCGAAATTTGCAAGAAACGATTACTAATCAAATGGGTAACTAACATTTAAGTTCTGCTCTTTAAAAATACGTTAAGCTGGCGAAATTTTTCTTTTTTTTTTACAGGTGTTTTTCTAAGCGCAAAGCCCAATGTAAAATTTCTAGTGAACCGGAAATTATCCCATGGTGACTTTGCTTATGTGAAGTCCGCTAGTGTGTGTTTAGATTTTCGTGTTCGTGTTCGTTTTCCTGTGCGTTTGCTTTGTGTTTGTGACTGTATTCGTGTGTGTGTGTGTTTGTGTGTTAGTGTGTGTCGGCCATGGCAAACTGGAAACTTTGCAAATGAATGGCAAGGCATTGGAAATAATGAGCCGTATTTACATTTCAAAGCGCTCACACAGGCAAGCTGGAAAAGTTTTCAGCCTCCCCGGTCGGACGACTACGGGTCAAAATCAGTTACGGAACTCTTAAATAGAGAAGGATTGCAAGGGGATGAAGGAGGCTGGCGGGGAAACGAAGGGGTAGACGGTGGAGCAGTGGGGCTAAGAGCTGTGGAAAAATCTGCTCGGGCTGCGAAGTTGAGTTGGGAGTAAATTGCGAAAGAGCCTTCGGCGGCAGGACTGCATACAATTTGTTTTATGGCCATGGCGTGCACATTAAACGCGCACTTAATCACACGCAATGGGCGTGGCAGCTCCTGGGCAACCCGCCCACAGCCCAGCACCAACAGCACCACCAGCACCACCGTCCTCGTCGTCGTCGTCCATGGCGACAAATCAAATTGATTTCGCTTTTGGTTTCCCTGCTGCCGATTTCTTTTTCTTATTTCTCCCCACTCCCCCATTTATTTGCCCCTTTTGTTGTGTTATTTTGCGCCTTATTAAATCACTTTTATTGCCTTTGAAATACCACGAAGAAAGTTTCTGCGGAGGCGTATACTCGTATGTGTGCAATATGATTTTTAGCTGCAAACCAAAAATAATTCATATTTATGGCGAAATTTCTGGCTCAGTTCGGTGAAGAACAACAAAATCATCATCATAATGATGACGATGATGTCTGAACAGAGTAGTAAGTAAATGAAATTCTGTGGCCGATACCGATACACTTACATATATGGTATATTTAGACTTTCGGGGGAACCCACAGGCGACGCATTCATATCCCATCCATTTGGCCCACGGCCGCCGTCAAATATCGAATATGTCTTTGTGCGCCTGACAACCAAAGCACAAATAGACAAAACAAACAATGCGTGGCCCTTGGAGGCTGGATGGTTTAGTCAATGGTTTCTGATTACGCCTCAACTCCCGACAGATGACTCTTGACCACGAGAAGATACGGATTACAGATTACAGTTGGGCTTGGTCAGTATCCAGTGCAGCACAGAAAAAGCACTAATGGAAATCTTACTGCTATCGAGAAGTAATCTCAATCGATTGTGGCTTTCAAGTCATTAATGGCTTTTGCGCAATTTCTTTTGGAAAGCAAAACAAGGATTCCCAGTTTGTAACTTTAAATCATATTTTATCTATCAAAACAATATCTTTAAAATAGGTAACCCTTTTTCCCCATTATCCCTTTTTCACTAGCCTAATCTGCAGGCAACAAAAAATATATATCAGCGACCCCCCAGGTTTTGCCACAGCGTTTCAGCGATGCGTGTAATTAAATTTTCATGCCACCTGCCTGAGGGTTGGATTTTAAAGGAAGAGGGGAAAGTGGGATGTGGAAAAGTAAGGGAGGGGAGGGCAGGGATGTGGGAGTGGCGCACAGAGAATGCAAATTGTCGGGCTATTCCAAACCGCAAGCATCAACGCCTTCAAATGCAGCCAAAGCAGGCGGAAGTAAATGCAGCTTTCCACTTTCCCCTTTTCCCCCTTCCTTTCCCAGGTTTGTTTTTCATATTTTCACCGCTTTAATTTTGTACCCTTCACTCGCCTGCCACTCGACAAAACGACACTCAAGTGGTCAGGTGTTGACAAACCACTTGATTACAGCTTTAACCGATTACCTAAAATATGGTTTTTTGGTTTATTATATTTCTCAAACAATTTAATACCCCTTTTCCATGAAGTTCCCTATATATATTCCATCTATTCGAAGCAAGCTGTGCTGAAATATCTCAAAAGCCTGTCAGATTCGATGGGACAAACAAACGAAACAAGCAAACAGAACAACAGCCTTCGAGCAACACAAACAGACGACAAACAGTAGCAGAAATTATTGCCCGGGGAAAGCATTTGCTATTGCGATTTGCGATTTTTCCCCGCATATAGAGTCTATATATATATATATATAAATAATATCTGGCCAAGATGCCGATGGTGATGCCATGTCGTTCGCGGGCCGCGATGAAGCTCCACGCGGACTGCTATGACCGCCTAAAGAAACCCATCTACGTGGAGGCGCCACCGTCGACGGCCATCGAGGAGGAGCGCAAGTGCGGCGTGCGCAAGGATAAGCCGGTGAAGCCCAAGGATCAGAGGCGTCCCCTGCCGCCGGGCACTCGGCCACCCAATCCCTTGGCCACTCCGGGCGGAAAGCGTCCGGCGGTGGGAGGTGGAAAGGCACCGCCACGTGCTCGCAAATACGATGGTGCCAAGGCCACGTTCTTTCACGTGAAAGGACAATCGTGGGAATCGAAGGGGTATGCGGAACTGTCGCAGGGCGAACTGGATCGCATGCGGGCCTGCAGGCCGCGCACGACCGAGGAGCGGCGAGCGGAACAGGACCGCCGGATGGAGGAGCAGCAGTTGCACACCGCCGAAGCGGAGCGCCTGCGCAACTATTTCCACGACATCGACGAGCAGCGCAGGGAAAAGGAGCGCGAGCTGGAGAAGAAGCACGACGACGAGGCGGACGAGGATGTCAACGAGGATCGGCGGGTCGAAGCCAAAAGATTGCAGGTGGGAATACCACACTAGCTAGTATATGTAGAGTGCTTATAAATCCTGCCATAGGTTCTCCATCGAGCCTTGGATGCCAAATACGAATCGGATGAGCGGGTAAAGGAGGCATCCCGCGCCATTTCGGAGGCCAAGTGCAGTGCCATGTGGACGGCTCAGATCCAGGAGCGGAAGCTACTCAACCGCATCCAAATGGACCACGACGAGGAGATGGCACGCAAGAACCTCGCCTACAACAACGCCAAGTGGGGCACCGTGGAGGAGCACGACCAGGCCGAGGAGGAGCGACGCCGGCAGTTTGGCAACGCGGTTCGCGAGCAGATCAGCGATCGCGAGAAGCTGCGCTTCCTCGCCCAGGATCGCCTGCGAATGGAGGCGCGCGAAGTCCAATCAGCCGTCGATGAGTACAAGAAGGCGGAGGCGGCCGAGGGGGAGACGCGATCGCGGCGCAAGTTGGCCTACAGGGACGAGCTGAACAAGTACACCAAGCTGCACCGCAGCTTCGTGCGCATGATGTGCGAGCAGGATCAGCGGGATGAGAATCGGGCGTACGAGTACCGGAAGCTCAAGGAGCAGGAGCTCAAGCAGCAGCGGGCGGAGAAGGAGGCCATTGAGGCGGATGAGAAGCGCAAGCGGGATGTCCTCTTCGCCGTCGGCCAGAAGATCCTCGACGCCAAGGACAACCGGGAGGAGATGCACTTCCTCGCCGAGCACGAACGCCTCGAGCGGAAGTACAGGGAGAACGAGCGGAAGGCCGCCGAGAAGGAGCGCAAAATGGCCGCCGAACTGAAGCGGGCCAACATGGAGCAGCGGGAGCACCTCAGCCAGATGAAGGCCTGCTACTACGTGCAGCGGGAGCGTGAGCTGCAGGAGATGATCGAGTACCGCAAGAAGGAGGAGGAGCAGCGCAAGCGGGAGGCCGACGAGCAGGCCGTCAAGAAGGCCTGCCTCCGCTCGAGTGTCTCCTGTCAAATCGAGGAGCGCGAGAAGGCCCGGCGCAGGGAACTCGAAGACGAGCACCTGGCCTTCGAAAGGGAGAGGGCGGCCGAGGCCCAGCGGCAGAAGGAGATCGATACAGTGATCACTGTCAAGTTGGATGACCTGCAGAAGCGCGGTTGTTTGCCCAACTTGGCCGTTCAGTCGCTCAAAGGTCGCGTTGCAAATGCCGGCAACAAAAAGAAGCTGGGCTCTGAATTCAGTTAGATAGCGTTTCCTTTTAATGGTGTTTTTGCCTCCAGAGAGACAAATCTAACAACACACACACACAGACACTCATACACACACGTTGACAATGGCATAAACGATGGCTTTGCGAGCTTGGCGGAATTAAAACTTGCAGCATATACTATTCTGCGGTGGTGGCAACTTTTCTGGGTTCGTTGCTAGCTTGCCACCCCCGCAGTTTGTTGTCAATTCAACAAGTTAAAACTGCAGACCGCAGACACAAAGATATATATAGAGAAGACCGCAGAAAAAAAAACTTTATTTGCCCTATAACTACACTTAAATCGTTGAATGATTCAGTGAAATTTGAAGTAAGCACAACGCAGTTTAAATAAATGAAGAAATTGTTTGATCGAGCAGATAAATAACCAAATGTTATATTATATCTACATATTCATATACATCTTGGGAAACTACAGCACGTAGCTAATTCGGAAATAAATCACAAAAGAGGCGTCGCCGCGCACGAAGCTATCAATTCTGTAAAGTCACAGAACAGAACGCCGAGATTAATTGACTCGGATAAATTTCGCCAGGCTAATACGTCTTCGGGAATTAACCCACGATAGATGAGTGGGGGCCCAGAAAACCCAGAAAACACTCACAAACACACACGCACACACACTCGGATTAGGGTAAATTAAGTTGAGTATAAGTGGGGGAGCATTTGTTTCACTTAAATTTCCTTAAAGCGAAATTAATTTCACTTGGCCGACTATTGATTCGATTTTGTGAATTCTTGCAAGAGATAGCGGCCACGAATGGGTTAAGCTGACCGTGACTGCATGGCCGTGGGTCATTTCTCATGACGGCAGCGGGTTAATGATGCAGAAGAATATTGCCCTTGAATGAGCCAGCGCCTAAAAACAGCGAACAGTGGCCAAAAGCGGGTTAAGGCCGAGATGAATGGATTTTTGGATCTCTGTTCTGGATTTTTGGTTCTGCTTTTGGTTTTGGGATTTAAGCGAGCCGAAATGCCTCTCGATGGCTTAAATACTTGCCGTGATGTAATGTTTGTGGGGATATCCACACCCACACACACACACACACACACATTTCTCTGCAATATAATTGCCAGTTTCTGGCTGTCGAACACAAAACAAGAATCATAGCATACTTTTCTGCGTTGGCCTCAAAACAAAGGGAAAAATGCGTTGAAAGCGAATACAATTGAGGGTAAGCTAATAGATATATATTTAACAAACAACAAACCGTTTTTTAAATGTATTGGTCTGAAAATACAAATTAACTGGAATTATCTGCAATATAATAAATAGCAACCTAATACATTGGAACTCATTGTTTCTATCTGAAAACCTTCTCAGGGAAGCCCTCCATTTTTTTCCTTTTTAAGATACTGCGAGTCATCTTTAGTCATACTTTTTTGTACGCATTTGTATATTTGCTCCGTGTGGCATACATGTAAACACACACACACACACGCACACGCAGGCATTTGGCAAGAGGGTAGCTGTGTGCCTGGTAAAAACAAACAATAGTAAAACTGATTAAGTCGGGGAAAACCACATCAAGCTAAACGATGATGAAGAAAAGACCAAAAGATTACGAACGTTGAACGTTGAACGCCGAGCACAAAAGGGAGAGACAAATGGCTGAAAAGGAGATGGCCAGTGGAAATGGAAAAGGGGAAGTGGAGAGAGGAGAGAGGAGAAAGGAGAGAGGAGAATGGTGAATGGGGAAGGACATGTGGGGAAAGTTAACTTGATGCGGGCCAAGGATACACAAACACACATGGTCACTGGAGATGAAAACGAGGTCCGAAGAATAAAAGAACACAACAAGAGGAAAAGTCTACCGCACATATAGACCCGAGCCATATCGAATAATTGAAAGGATATACACACATATATATATGTACATGTAAAAACGGGCGGTATGCTGCGACAATTTGTAAGATATGATAGTAATGCTCTAAAGCTTTTCCCCCCTCTCTCCCCTTTTTTTCCTATTCTATTCTTTTCCTTTTTTTTCATTTTTCCCCAACAATGACAGCAAAATTAGTCATTGTCCTCGGCTCAGCTCCTGTCATTTGCATATATGTGAGAAAGTCTCTGTGTATGTGTGTGTGTATGGGTGTGTATGTTTTGCTAGTCCTGACAATTATGTACAATTTACTTTGCATAACACTCGAAAGCAGAGGTTTAAAAGCCGGGCCAGGAATGAAGCGACTGGGACAAAGACCTGTCCAAAGCCAACTAGTTAGCATATTTGTTGTTCAGTCCCCCAAGTGGCTTTAGACCTAAGGAATTCTCACAGGAGCAACGAAAGGACAGCCAGGGATGGCTGGATGGCTAGATGGAAAGAAAAAAACAGAAACTAAAAAAAATGAAAGCAGGCTAGCAAAAAACAAAAAACCAAATAACAAAAAAAAAGGAGAAGTTAACCCAACAATCTAAACAAAAGTAAAAAGTTCCGAGAGTGCCGACCGCATGGAAGGCAGAATTTTAAGCTGTGTGTGCTGTGCCGAACAACACGCATAAATCTGAGCATAAAAAACAAAATTCCACATTCTTTTCTCGAAATAAATAGTATGCAAGGATCTGTGTGTCATAGTAGTTTTGGTTGTAACCTTACTAGTACTCTTCGGACACCACGCGTGTGCGATTGTGTTGAATGGTTTTTTTGCAGCTGGAAAAAGTTGGGAATTATTAGAGACGGGCTTAACAGTACAGAGAGAGAAAAACACGTTGGCTTGGGCGGGTGACAAATTGGTTGCTAATGTGTGAGGCAGAAAAGAGAGAGAGAGAGAGAGAGAGACAGAGAGAGATTGGTGGGTGGAATGTGGTGCACTATGAGAAAAAGTTTTGGGTGATTTGCGCATAAAAGTGGGAGGCACAGAGTAAGTAAAAATAAATTTACTCTGGCTTAAAAGCAAAAGTGCAAAAAGGTGACCTCATCGCTGGGAATTCGATTGAGTGGGGTAAAAATCATAACCTCTTGGATCTTAAACCTCGTGTCTTCGATCTTAGTCGTGGTGAGAACTATTGCCTTTCTGTGGTGATCTATGGTGAAAAGTGCAAGCCGAAGGACCAAACTTGAGCCTGAGGTGAAAGGTGGAAAAGAAACGGTTCAACAGTGAAACAGGCAGGTGAGAAAACAAAAGCATGGAATGTAATCATGTAATCGAAATGCTGTGCAAATTCTACTCTGGGCAATGTTGTATATTCGAAAAATTTGTATTGCTTTTCTTTTTTTGTGTCGGTTTTTGCTTCTTGGTTTAGGTTCCATTTCGTTTTTGCTTGACTTTGTCTTTGTTTTTCAGTTTGCTGGCTTATGGTTATTTTTTTGGTTTTTTTTTTTTGTGGTACTTTTGACTTTTTGCTAACCTTGTGTGGGGTGTTTCGCTTTGGGCAATTTTGTGATTTTGGTTGCATTTGGTTCGATTGTTGGTGAGCTGAATTTGAAAACTGATTTTGCTTTGCTTCGATTTTATTTTTTTGTTTTTTTTTTGGTTTCGATTTGATTTGGGTTTGATTTTCGATTGGTGATCTTTTGATTTGGCGATTTTCGATTTTCGATTTTGATTCGATTCTTTTTGTTTAGTTTCTTTCGATATATATTTCGATTGAAGTGCAATATGGTGAGGGCTGTACAGGTATGAGAGCTGAGATATCGAATTGAGATTGAGATTGAGACTGAGTGGTGGTGGTGGTCTGATTTGAATTAGAACTTCTCCGATATGCTATAGATGCGCTTAACGCTAACGCACTTGCGTCGCAGTCGCTCGCACTCGATTTCCCTGAAGTCGGCGTGCGAATTGGCGCCCAACGTGTGGCCCGAAATGGAGAGCTCCTGTCCGGTGGCAAAATCGTCGATGGCGATGTGATGGATTCTGGCCAACTGCTGTTGTCGCGTGGCGGCGCAGATATCCGGCTCACTGGTGGCTCCACCCACGTACGAAGAATGCTGCTCCTCTCTATCGTTAGATAGCTCCTCGTTATCGTTATCGTTATCGTTCTCCTCGTCGTCGTCGTCGTCCTCCTCCTCGCCGGGCGAGTACTGCTGCTCCTCGGACTCGACAAGATCGTCTAGGTTCTCAGCCAGATACTGGATCTGCTCCTCCTCGCACTGCGGACACTGGGAATTCTCAACTGCTTCTGTTTGTTGCTTCGCCCGCTGGATGCTTCCCTGATTCTGACTAATGATGGCCCGCTTGAGCTCGACGAAAAGCGGCGAGGGTGGCTGAAGTTGCAGGGGCGCGACCACCGCCGGTTGTCCTGGCTGATCGAAGAGGCTGGGCGGAATCTCGCCGGCCGGCAAGGGTTGGCTGGTGATGACAGCCGCTGCTCCCAGGACACTGTGTCCCGAACCGGCGCCCGTCTCGGGATGGATGCGATTGTCGGAGTTGGTCGAGGAGAACTTGGAGAGCAGGGAGCGCGAGCTGACCTTGTTCTTCAGCTGCTGCTGCTGCAGATAGTAGTAATCGCGCGGCAGCGAGTTAGTGGCATGCAACGGATCCTCCGGATCGTAGTAGCCCAAGGCGGCCGGGCGAAAGAGTCCCGGAGTGCTCAGTGAATGCAACTGCTGTTGGTTTTGCGACTGCGATTGCGATTGCGATTGCGATTGAGATTGCGACTGTGACTCCTGGTCGTACGAATCACTGATCACACTGGCCGTCGAGGCGGTGGGCGTGGTCGTGCTGCCCAGCGTCGACTGCGAACCGGCGGCAGCGGCGGCCGCGGCTGCGGCAGCGGCAAACTGAGCGCCCAGCAGTGGCGTCAATCCAGCGAGGAACTGTTCCTGCTGCTGCTGCTGTCGCTGTTCGTCGAGTTCGCGGCGATAGGCCTCGATTTGGTCGCTCGGCGAGGGGGTGTTGCTGTGTATGCAGCCCTGAAAGAAATCCAATGCCTCGTACAGGATGAAACACAGGCCCAGGACGAGGAATGTCTCCATCATAAGCAGCTGGTAGCCATTTAAATGTTTGCCGAGCGAAACGGAACGGAAGCAGAAGCGGGAGCGGTAGCGGTAGCGGCAGCGGAAACGGTACGAAACAGAACGCGGCGGAACGAAACGAAACGGAATGAAACGAAACGAAACGGAAGTAGGCGCGCGTTACCGAAGAAAATACCGAAAAAACTGAATTGGAAAACCCTTTTATTCTCCGCTTTCCTTCCTCTACTCGATTTCAATTTCGTCTCTTGGCTTTGGCTTTATTTTCAACACTTTGGCACTTCATTTTCCCTCATTTGGCTTCTCTTTTGTATGAGTTTTTTATGCTTCTTGGTTGTGTTTTTTTTTTTTTTTTTGTTTTTTGTTTTTTATATCGCTTTTTCGTCTAGGGGTTGGGTTTTATCCTTGGCTGAAATTGAAATTGAAACTGAAGCGTTTCCTTTGTTATTCAATGCAAATTAATTTCGAATTTGTTTGTCGTTTGTGTCGTCGGCTTCTCTCAGCCCCTGCGCACTTTTCATTTGCATAAATTAAGTACGTAATTTATATATATATATATACATACAAATATGTATATATTCATTTTTAAAGATTTTTCGTGTGCTCTTGTTTTAGTCGTTTGGTGGCAACGGAAACGGTTAAGAAACAGCAGGCAGGCAAACGCACATACATTGACACATACACATACCACAGTACAGTTACGATAGATACATATATGCAAAACGTATATAGAGTATATACTATATATAATTATTTACAGCAGATCTGGCCACAGCAGCCAAGCAGATAGTGGACCAAAGTTCTAGCTTTGTTTTTATGTTTATTGTGCTGATTGCGTGTGTGTGAAAAGTTTGCAATGGCTTTTTTGGCATCGGTGTGAGTGTGCTGAAATTTGGAATTCATAAAAGAAACATAAAACTCAAGACTCCAGGGAGTGGCGACTCCATAGAACAGCTCGTAAAGCTTTCGAAAAATAAAAACCAGCTAGCAACTTTTTAAACAATTGATAAGGGACGACACAAAATGTCAGGGATCCTCAAAGGAACGAAAAGTTACATTTACGAAAACTGTAGCTCCGCAATGGCTTTCAATTTATTCAAAATTGAAGTAAGTAATTAACAATGCCTGGAAAGGAAATCCCCTAAAAACACACATATCCAAAGATTGTGCACGAAAATGCGGTAAATTATTGATTGCAAATCCAATGAAAACCGGCTCTCAATTCTATCGGTAAGTTACCTCCAAGAGCCTAAACTGTCTAGCAACTCAATGTGCATATGGTAAATGTGAATTATTTCGCAGAGCACACGGTAGGGTACAGAGCGACTTGAACTCATGCCTTATTCATGGTGAAATTGGAGTTTGCAGTTGCAGTTGCTGTGGCAGTTCTGAATAAGATGAAATATGCTTGTTTATGCATTGGACATTTTGCACTATTCCAGCATGGATATTGTCTCGTTTTTGCGTTTTTACTCTCTCGCCAGTGAAACAACTGTTTGCATTCGAGATTTTGTTGCACTTTTTAGGGTCAAAGCTTGAATCAAATTCGCCTGGTTTTGCTTTTGTTTTCCAGTTGCCATCTGTTCTGGGACTCCCTGCTGGCATTATTATAACGATTACTGTTTGGATTGCCGGTTTGGGTTTGGTTTCGGGTTGCCAATTGAAATATATCGAAATATATTTGATAAACTGACAGCCATGAAAATTGAATGGAGTTCAACTCGGAATGTAAACAACTCCATTTGCTAACGCAAATGGGCGGTGAATTGTGAACAGTTGCCCTTTTTTCGAGGTTAAAGTTTCAATTGCACAGATTCAACATGACTTCGATGAATATTTACAATCATTTAACTGACATCAAAGTCATAATAATCATAAAAATCAGCGGAGAAAATAGGAATAATAATCATAAAAGCATTTTCGTGTGGTTTTACATAGCCACCCCTTTATTTTTTAACCCTACAGTGGAGCAATGATGCGGAAAAAGGCAAATCCGGAGTCAGGGTCTTATTTATTCCCCCTTTTCCTTTTTTTTTTTTTTGGGGTTTTTTCTTGGTAACCCCCAGTAATATACCGTGGCCAATCCAATCCCCAAGCCAAAAGCCTCCGGTCCCCATCAAAATGCACAACGTGTCGTTATTTATGCCCAACCCCTCTACCAAATCCTCTTTCTAACCACTTCGGCTTAACCCTTAGCATGACAAAGCGGGCCTCGGGTCCCAAATGGACCCCCAAAAGCGGAGGACAAAACACAGAAGAATGCATAAGCCGCGAAACGAATTGAGGCGGCCAAAACAGGATATGCGAAGGAAAGGAGTTTATTGTCGGGGATCGCACAGCAAGAAAAATTTGCCCAAAATAGCTGTTTACTTGGCGATTTGCCAATTTATATTTAATACATTTTTAAATGAAATCAGAATGGGAGTTATTATTTAATTTCTGGTTTTAAATGGGTATCTGTAAGTTAACCTTTATGTGCATGGATTGAACTTCTGTGAAGCAAACTAGTTTTCTTTTTCATTACAATAAGAGACGAAAAGTTTATGCCCTTCAGTTGGCAAATTAAAAACTCAACATGGCTAATGAATAGCCCCAATAAATTAGGAATGGCAGGCAGAGATTATGCAACTCAAGCCGAAAATTCATTCGACTCAATTTGCTGAGAAACTTTTTCGCCCGATTTGTTTTGATTTCTGATGTTCGAGGCACTCTCTAATTAAATTTTTAATGTGTGTTGTGGGCACGGCAAGCGGGGGATGGGAAAAGGAAAAAACTTTTCCGGCTGCTGCTGTTGCTGCTTGGAAAACTTCAAACAAATTCCAAGTAATTGCACATTGAAATTGACAGAGACAGGGACAGCTAGATGAAACGAAAGAGATAGTGGGAGAGAGAGAAAGAGAAAGACAGCCTACAATGGGTGGCAAGAAGAAAGGGATGGAAGGAAAACTACTGCAGTCTATGGGCCAAGTTAGGGGCACATTGTTATGCCCACGTTTAACTTTACATGGCCCATAGTCTGAATAAAGTTAGTTCAGAACAACAAAAACAACAAGATGCTAACGAGCGACACACATACATATACATAAATACATAAGTATTTAAATATATGTATATATAGGGAGCAAAAGAGATGGCATTAGGGTAAAAGGAAAGAGACAGCTGGGGGAAAAAGTGCTGCCTGAACGAGTGCAGCTTAAAATTGTTATCAACAATTTAATCATTGAAAACCATTAAAAAGCTAACAACAAGAACTTTCTCTTCTACTCCTTCTTTTCCCCGTGATTTTTCCAACAGTTTTCCCTCAGTTTTCCCATTGCCTGTTTTCCTTTTATTCTTGTTGTTTTTGCCTTAATTGCTATACACAATGCAGCTGTGATTATGGTCACCAGAAGTGGGCAAGAGAGACGGCAAAAGTGCGAGAAAGAGATGGGAAAAAACGGACACGAGATCCGTTAATTTCATTTCGCTATTTTTCTTGCACTTTTTTGTAGACATACATAGATATAAAATTAAATTCCACAGTTGGTGCAATATTTCCCCCTTTTTTTTTACTTTTAACTTTTTACCATGCCCTTTAATTAGAAGCAGAAAGAGACTGGGCGGTTGGTTGGGTGGCAAAGGATGCCATTACATCTGCGTCAGTCATTTGTTTTCGTCACACACGAGTTCATGTCATGGTCAACACATGCAAAGACAGCAAACAAAATGAAAATGCGGAAAAGTCCATCCGTCAAGAAGGCCGCACTGCAAACTCTCTAATTTTTATTCCCTTAAAATGAGAAGTGTGTAAAGGAATCTTTTTAACTTTTAAACCAATAATTAAACTTGCAACAATAAAATATTTGTTGATGTGATGGTATAAAATTTTAATTGGTATTCCCCAGTAAATTGTTTTTAATTTAAATCCTCAATATATTGCTTTTACAATTAAGTTGCGCAACAAATTAAGAAATTAGGATTGTGCCAATTTATGTGTGTAACAGCATCTTGTGGCGGTTTTGCCAAAAACTAAATATTTTATATTATAAGTTGGGTGTTTTTTGCTCTTCTTTTTTAATATAAATGCACAAGCAGTTGAGATGGCAGCGGCTGCCTGTGGACTTCTGCATTGAAGGTTATATTTCAACGGCAACTGTCACGCTGCTGGAATTCAGCTACAGCACTTTTCTTGGCTGCTGTTGTTGACTGTTCGGGGCACTTCATTGTGTGGCCAAAGGGGGAAAGTGGGAGGGGGGATTCGGCAAGGGGGAGGAGGTCGGAAAAGGGCTGGCAGCAAAAGTAAACCAACATAAGTGTTGCGTCGTTCGTTTTATTGTTGTGGAAACCGGATGCAGGACATGAGCACTGGGCCTCGGACCTCAGCAGGTCATGTTAACTAACCTCTTTTCGGAACCCCTGACCCAACCAACCAACCAACCAACCAACCAACCATCCAACCAGGCAACAGACCCCCATTTCCATCTCCATTTTGTCCTTGTGCCTGCAGCATAAATTTTTAAAACGCTTGCCACTGCGGCTTGTCAACTGCAGCAACCTTGCCCTTGTTGCTTGCCACGCCCTCGAAACGCCCCCAAAGGGACCAGTAATTGTGACAATTTTAAAACAATTACAACAAACTCAATGAGCACCATAAATTGACCATTTGCTGCAGCAGAGCGAGAGAAACAGAAACAGATGCAGATATAGATATAGTTAACTGAAACAGAAAGATAAACTGAAAAAGAGCACTAGTTCCAGTGGCCGAGTTAACAATTTGTGCAATCCACATTCACGAGTTGACCGCAAAAACCAACGGAAACATGAGATCATTACGCCACGCGCTCTGCGGTTCATGCCACGAATGCATATCTCTCGCATATCTGATGAATCGGGGTTTTAATAGGGGGAAGCTTTGAGTGTCAATTAACTCAATCAAATTAACCAATAGCGCAGGGTAAAAGAATTAACCAGGGAAAGTTGCAGTGCAATGTTTCATTTTAATACACTGTATGTAAACGAAAGTTAACAGTGAAAGTTTTCGGCTGTGATTTCAACTTTAGAAATATTGACAGAATATTAATAGAGGATATCTATTTATTGATGTGTATTCAACGGAATTGGTTGGGGCCCATCTGATTTATACGAAACATGTGAAGGCGCTTAGGCGGATCTTTGGCCATAAAACTCCCTAAAGGAAGACCACTCCAGCCGAAAACCAACCGAAACCACTTCCATTCTAGCACTTTCCGTGCCATCTGCATATCCGTGGTGCAAACTTTTGAAGTTTGTTTTCGTTCAATTTGCTGAGCAAACAACTGAACCATTAAGAACATCTTCAGAGGCAGATGAGCGAGTTCATCTGGAAGTAGAAGTGGAATGTGCAAGTGGATGTGGATGTGAAAGCCCGCGGCTGTCGAAGATCTGATGTGGCAGTTGCGAAATAATTAACCAAAAATTAAAGCTGTCGCACAAAAGCGAAGGATTTAAATCGATGGAGTTTCGCCTGCATGTGTTGCACTTTGCCAACTCTTTTGTATGCCATATCATATTAAATCCCTTCGCATTCAAATTCTTTTCCATGCTATTTTTAATATGCAAAATATGCATATATGGATTTTATTTTATTTTATTTCCCATCGCAGCAGCGGCACATGATGTTTGCTTTCAGTTTCACATTAAAGAATGCCTTTTGTGAGAGGCCTGCCAAGGCGAACTGCCCTTCGTCGGCTGCTCCTGGTATTGACTCTCCGCTCTCCTTTTCCCTCAGATGGTCATTAAAAATATGAAATTTTATGGGGGTACAACATTCCGCACACACACACACACCCGTATACCCACACATACACACTGCGCACACCACTCAATGGAACACTTAAATGAATTACAGTTCTCAGCTGAGTTTCCCATATTTTTTTTTTGTTCATCGAAATCTGTTCGAATTGAATGGCCGGGAAGAAGAAGAAGAGAGCGTAGGAGGAGGAGGAAGAGAAGATTGGAATATGTTTTCACCCGATTCAGGGGTGGCCATAATCCCGGGAAGGGGGATTCCGATTGAAACGGACATTGGGCCTTGGCGCTTCTTTTCTGATTTTTCCTTTGCCGTTTTGCAGGAACTCTGGCTTTTTACTGAAGTCCTTCTTCCCTTATTTTTCTTTACTTGAGAATGTTTTTTCTACCATCCGATAAACTTAACGTATTCGTTAGTAATTGCTTTTAAAGCGAAAATATATTTTTAGTGTTTTTAATGCATCTGTTTTTTTTAATCCCATCTTATACACAGATTTTTTCCAATCTCATGCATAGATTATATTCATCGATAAAGGGGTCACAATAAAAGCAATTTATCGATGACATTTAATCGGTTAAATGCTGGCTCGAAGCAATCCAATTACCAATTTCCCCTTCCAATTGTCAGCACACAAACCTATCGATGATAAGCACCAGGAAATCCCATTGGGTATCTGACACAAAACAACAATAATGGAATGAATTTGAACTCCCACATGGCCACGCCCCCTCCACACCGACAGTGCCACACACGGGACACACACACACACCAATAGAGTCGCCCACTAGCTCCCACACAAACACCTTTCAATGTCAGATGGCTGGGATGTTGGCTGCATTATTTGACGGCCATTGAAAAAGTTTGCCACAAATGAAATGGCCCAAAGGAGCTGTCAAATCTGCTGCGTTATAACATTTACTATAAGCCTGCAGGGGCGTAAAGGGACACGCCGTTGAGGGGGTCTCACAAGGGTTAAGGGTAAAAGGCGGCAACACAAAGCGCCGAGCAAAAGTTGCACAAAAATTGACAAAACATAAATAAAATATGGCGCAAACAATAAGGAAGATTTTCGGGAGGAGAAAAGACATGTGACACAAACAGATGCCAGGTAAAGTGTTTTTTTTTTTTTTAGAGAGAGTGGCGCTGTACTGGTGTGGGGAATATCGGGGTGGACCCTGTCCCAGTGACGTTAATATCACCGGATAAGTATTGACAAAAGTGGTAGAGTGAAAGAGTGGCGACAAACAAACAAACGGCAAAATGATGACGGAGCGACTAGCGGCAGAGTTGCCATCGTTATATAAAAGCGAGCCAACTGCCAGAGTTGCCATCGTTATACATATATAACCAATTGCCATTTTACAATGATGACGTAATTGATTTTTAAGCAAATACAAATACACTCAGTCAGTGAAAAGAGAAAAGGACAGACAAGGAGCCAAAGAGCGGAGTAAAAAAGATTTCCAAATAAATAAAGCGAAACGTGCAAACATCGATGACGACGAGTGCTTGGTGAAAACCTTAGCCTAGAACCCTCCAAAAAGCAAGAAAAAAAAGGTGAAGAAAACCCCGAGTATATCAAGTAAAAAGCAAAGGAGGAAAACGAAGCTGTGGGTCGCGATGGCTGGTGGGAACACAAGCCCCAAGAAACGTGCCACGGCTGCAGGTGAAGCTGGGGTGTGTGCGTGTGTCTGTGTGTGTGTGTGTGTGTGTGTGTGTGCAGCCACTTTTGAGTGCTTGCACAACGGGCACGACTTTTCTTTATTTACACTTACATCCCTTACATCAACACACACACACGCTCACTCACAAAAAAGAAGCCGAAAAAGAGAAGAATGGGCACTCGAGAAAATCATTATGTGCAATTCATACACTAAAAGTAAATAATTTCCTTCTCAATAATTGTCAGCAAATTTAAATATTAAAATTACTGATTATTTGTACACCAAATTTAATAATTTAACAGATATTTATGGGATTAACCCAATTTTTGTCGCAGTGCTTCGATGGAAAAACCCTGCCGAAATCCTTTGCTCAGCGAAAGAGAGAGTAAGAACTTGAACCGTGATTGCAGCTCCTTATAAAGTGCCTTCCCCCAGCCATAATTCAAACACTTTTCCAACGAAAAGAAAGAAATTATCTGGAACGGTTCAAGGGTCAAGCCAGAGTTCCCTCCCCCAAACAAAAAAAGAAAGAGGATAACTTTGAACTTGAGTTGGGTCAGTTAGAGCTAATTTGAGCTTAAGGCCTGGAATCAAGGGCTTTACTTCTAAGAAAATGTAGAGCTCATTATAGCATATTGATTTCGAAGAAAATAATCCAAGAACGTAAATTAACCTTTGACCCTACTTGAGTATTAAGCAAACTAAAAATAAAATTAAGTTTCAAGTTCAATTAAATGTAATCTCAAATTCCACCAGAGGTGCAATCACAGAATTTCAAGTCAATCCAATGCATTATTTATTTTTGCCACGCCGCCATTGCCAAACAGTGTGTAATTGAATATTGAACATTTAAAGCCAAAAAGCTTAAGCCAACAACTTCTGCCTCGAAGCTGTGCTCGTGCATCGCATGCTCTATATATTTATATATATGTTTGTATATATATATATCTCTATATATATATTGAATAGTTGTACGTGAGTGTTCGTGTACGTGTATGTGCTAGTGCAGAAGCTTAGATTAGTCATTTGCATCTGTCACAACCGTAACCCCCTGCAATCCATTGCCCCTCATTAAACACCATAAATCCTCATTCAAAATTGACTCCATTGATTAGAGCAGCAGGAGCAACAGCAGCAGCAACAACAATAACAACAACAGCAAGAACAACAGCAACAATAAAGGCAACAATAGCCCCCAAAGCAACAACAGAGCAGAACAGCAACAATCCACAAACAATTAGTCGAACAAAAGGTTTGCAGTCTTGAGCATATTGAATGAGATGAATTCACTTGGGTGGTCAGAGGCTCGAAGCCGAATCAAAATGGTTGCAGCCATAAATGCTGTTCGAGATGGCAATGAATCTGGGGTTAAAGTCCAAAAGCCCGCAATTGAATGGACAACCATGATTTAATTATGTCCTCCAGATCGGTTCAACTCGGCTTTGTGCCGTTTAAATGCTCTTAGTTAAATTATAATCAAGACTGAGGCCCACAAATGCATTACGATTAATTGTGAAACGGATTTAAACAATGGGGAAATAAAATGTTAGTGATGGGAATATACTTTTATAATTTATTTATTTTAGGCAACAAATATATCAAACTAAATCAATAAAAAACATTTTCAATAGCTAAAACTTGAAGTGATGCTACCAATTTTTACCAATTGTTCCAATAAAACATTATATCTTTAAATCACATAATAAATATGCATAGCATGTAATCTTTAAGAACTGCGAAAAAAACTAAAGACCCAAACCAAAAAAAAACCTCTATAAAGCTGGCTCATCGATAATGAAACTGAACATGAAGAAAATGATTTTGATGATGATTTCGTTTGACACACGCACACAAATTCAAAACCTCACATACACGCTTTGGTTGTTGTTGCTATTGCTCTTTATGTGCTTGTTTTTATTGCAATTGTTATCGCTCTGCTTCTTGTTCATATGCCCCAATCCCATTTTCTGGACTTTTCTTTGGATTATTTCGTTTCTTTACTTTTTTTTGTGTAATATATTTTATTGTTGTTTTTATGCTTCACCAAACACACGCACACACACACAATCAAACCAACAAATAAATGCACGCACACACGCATACACATTTGTATTATCATTTGTTTACATTCTTCTTATACATATATATTTATTTTTTATCTGGTTTTTTCACTTGGCACACAGCAAAGAACAATAAAAAAAACATTTGAAAAAATTTGAGGCAAGCGAAAAAAATATTCTGAATATTTGATTGAGAATTATTAGGCTGGCTTTTTTGTAGCACACTTTTTTGGGCGCGCGTTAACGAAGTCGTCGGCGTTTTGTTCTGTTTGTGTTTTAAACTAGTTACTTTGAAGGCTTTTCATATTCGAATGTTATTACATGTATTATTTTAGGTGATTTATTTATTTTTTTATTTTATTCATTTTAAATGGGTAGTTTTCGTGGCTACCTCAATTTGTGCAACTCCTTTTGCTTCTAATTTGCATTTGCCACTCGTTAGAGCTTTGTTTTTATATCCCCTATTCTGTGATGATATTTTAATTTTTTTTTTTGGCTATTGTTTTTGTGGTATTTTGTTATTATTCTTCGTTATTTGTTGTTGTTGTTTTTCTTTTTTGGTTATGGTAATTTTTTCATTCTTTTAACCGTGCTCGACGACCGCTTTACGCCCGTATAGAAAACAGACTGCGGCGACCAGCAGCGAGATTTATCCCATGAAGATAAGTGCTGCAGACAAGCGTTCGTTTTGCCGAGCAGAAACGAACACGCACACACACCCATATACTGACACACGCACAAATCGCGCACACACACACACAAAGAAGTAGGAAGAGATGGCGGGCAACTTTGTGTTGTTGTGCTTTCTGTTCCATTTTCTTTTTGCAAACAGTCAGCATCCGCCGTGTGACTGTGTTTCTATGTGTGCTAGTGTGTGTGTGTGTGTGTGCACTAATACCAGAGCGGAAAGGAAAGCCGAATGGTACTCGTATCGGAAAATCTCTTCGGTTCCTTTTCTCTTTCGCGCTCTCTTTCCCCCGCTTTCCCGAGTGGTGAAAAAGGAAAAGCTCTGATGTTTTGAACAGGTAAAATTCGCAAAAAAGTTGCGATAAAGTGAGCATTCCGATCACGCTTTTGCCGGCTTAAAATAATTAAGGGATAAACTAACTGAAGTTTAAAAAAAGTTAAGGAGAAAAGAAAGTCATATTATTAAACGTTTTAATGTTAATCGTTTTCGTTTAAAAGTATTTTTAAAAATGTGGTTTAAGTGTGGTTTAAGTACAAATAAAATTATTTACTTTAACTCTTTTTTGATTGAATGAATGAACAAAAATAATAAAAAAGAAACAAACTTGAACAACTTTTAATCACTAGCTAACACTTTGCAACTATTTAAAACATTTAAATAAGCCGAAAGCAAAACAAACCCCTTGCCCCACGACTATCATCGCACCGCTCTCTTCGACTCTCTTCAATCTCTCTTAGCTCACTCTCTTTCAATATGGTGGGATTAAAACTGTTTTGAAGAGAGTGAAAAGCTCGCCTTAAAGCAACGCTTTTCGTCAATTTTCCTTTGATTTCGAGAAGATGGACTGCAACAGTTACAACAGTTGAACGCCGAGGAAACCGAGGAAAAGAGATTCACTTAATGATGGCAGGAAGATGGGGAGTTGGGTGGTTGGGTGGTTTAATGGGTATTTCGAGTGGCAGTCATTAAGCACAAATAAGACGCTATGTGTGCCTGTGTATGTGTGTACGTGAAACACTACAGGACACACAGCTAATTCGAACGAAATTAGGCAAACATTTAATGAAGCAATTAGCAAATTTCTGGGCAGCTGCCCTTTTCCCCACATTTTCGACCAGAATTTCCCTTAGTTTGCCATTGATATAACGCAAATTTGTGGCACTTCCGGTGCACGAACTTACCTCGACATGATAAAAAAATAAACATAGATAATGTATATATCCTCAAAAAAAAAAAATAAAATGAAGCCAAACCCCCTTACATATTCATAGATTTCCCCGGGTGAAGAAACCGCACAGAACATCAAAGGAGATTCCACTTTTACACATCAATGTGTTCCTTTTTCTGGCCAAGGAAAATTGCGTTTACTCACCTGAAAAGAAACAGAGAGGGAAAAACGTTAGGCGGTCGCAAAAAGTTGTCTTATTTTACACATATACTTAAACTTCAATTTATATATAATGCTTTTATTTTCCGGCAGACAAGACCTTTGCCCACTTACAATTCAAAAGGTGAAAAGGAGGGATAAGTGGGGCAACTTTGACATGAGTAAAGTGCAAAAATCTGTTGCATACTTTTTCGGGCCTCGAGTGTTGGGAATTTGCTGCAAAGTGTTTTTGGCCACAAGTAAGTGAGTTTTACTCGTGAAACAAAATAATTGAGGATAATCTGTCTGTACATGATATGATAAGGGTATTTTTTTTAAATATAGCAATTTAGTGACTGAAATCAGCACTCTTTAAAAAACTCCATTCAAATTTATATTTTTTTCGAAGGCCTATTGTTTTGTCGCCTTTTTTGCTGGACATAAATCCCGCTTAAAACCATTTAACCTTAAAACCACTCAGCAGTTGAACAAACTACGAAGAGCAACGTAAATTGAAGCCAAATCAAAAACGATTCTGTTTTCTTGGCATTTGCTATTGTGTTGGCAATTTTGTTGCCTGGAATTGGCCATTTTATTGGAACTTTTGTTGGCCGCATGCACACGGGGCACAAACTACCTGCTACCTGGGAAATTGTAAGGGGGGAAATCGCTGCGGAAGTGGACTAAAGTTAGATTGATGATGTCTCAATATACCCCATTAGGGGATTGCCATCGAGACCGACGACTGCAATATAATATCGCAAATGAATTGCCCGCCCTTCTTGCTAGTGGATTTCCCTGGATTTTTTTTTTCTTTTTGGGAGGGGGAGAATTGAGTTGTTGTTGCCGGGTGGTATTTTGATGATTGTGCACCTGCTGCTGGCACAATTCAATGCTCTAATTGGTAGCAAAGTGGAATAAACTATTGCCCAGGCGAAACTTTTCCGTTGCTCTTCACTCTCTTCGCTCTTGACTCTCTTTTCTCCTTTTGATGTTGGCAGGACACGCTGGCCTTCAAGAAAATGAATCACGAGCCAACTAACTGTAAAAATTCATTATATTCCCGGGCAGCAAAAGCAAAAAAACAAAAAAAAAAAATACAAGCAAAGGTACATGTTTGGCGACAAAAAAGTTTGTATGACTGGAATTGAAATTTCTTTTTTCTGGCCAAGAGACAAAATGGTTTAAGAATCTCGATACAGAAACATACACTAAGGTATTTTCAAACACCATCATCTTCTTCGGCTGTCGACGTTTTGGTAAAGTGTTGAAATCGATTAAATAAAAGTTTACTGCTAAATTTTGCTAACTGGCTAAGCTTCAAACTTTGCTTTTGGCTTTTTTCAGGTTAGTTGCATATTTCAGTGGCTCGATTCGCCCGCAGCAGCAAACTCGAGTGTGCGGCAAGAACTTAAAAAACAATTAGAAACTTTTCCGTCTCGAGCCGCAATAATATTGCCAACTATCTGAGTGGGGGAATCAATCCGCCGGCTCATAATTCCCAACCATACCCCTTTCTATACTCCTTCTTTAATTGGCCCTGCGATAAGTTGAAAGTTGGAAACAAATTGAAAGGCTTGGAGATTCAGTCGTGATTGGGGACACAAAACAGAAACTCAGTTATTTTGGGAAGGCACAAAGTTAATGCCTAGTTTTGAATAGATTTGGGGTAGTTTTCTTAGGGAGAACAGAAACCAATTTTAAAGACATTATCTAATATTTAGATACGATTTTTATCAGCTACTACTGTCCATTGCAAAACATGAAACCTCCGTGGCCTAATCAAGCCTTCCTCAATTCACTTTCCATCCATTGTACATTCTAAACTTTAAGAGAAAGTACTTAACTTCCAGCTATAACCCCAAATAACTAGTGATGAGGATGAGGAGGTGGAAGAGCGAATTTCAAATTAATATTACACAAAATTATTTTAACAACAAATTTTTGTTTCTGGTCTTTCCTTTTATATATTTTTTTTTGTCGGAAGCTTGAAGCGAAGTTGAAATTAATGGAAAGCATTTTCGATTGTAATTATGTATTCGTGACTGGAGGGTCCAAGAGGCACTTCCTCCACGTTCCTCCCTTTTTCCCCGATTGTCAACCCCCCAATTCGCTTGGCACTTGTTTCCCTGAGTTTCCCTGTTGCTTCAGATTTTGGCTCAGCTCATTAGGCATAATTCGAGCTCTCTTCCCCTTACATTCTGCCATCTCTTTCCCACATCCTCTACTTTTCTACTTGTGTCTCCCTCTTACGCTTCGTCAATATAATGGGGTTGAGTTTATGGGGGTTCTCTGGAGGTCCGCATTTAATTGACTGTAAATTTGCTGCTCTTCAAAGCTTCAACTACTCATTAAAATAAAACGCAAAGAATACTACAAGGGGAAAGGGGATGTCGGTGGGAAAGCGGCTAAGAAAGTATGTAGGGTTAAAGAATACATTTCGAACTTGTAGAATTTTTATAGCATAAGAAATGTTTCAAGGACTTGTTAATTTTAACTACTCTTTCGAAATTGTCCGATAATTCAGTCGAAGTAAATGATATCATTACCAGCTCATTGCCACTAGAAATCGAGTTTCAAAGACAGATTACGCATACGCCCCTTGTGATTGTGCTACTCAGGTTGTTTTTTTTAATTGCATGAGAAGAGGGGGATTTTGTAAAGGGAGGAATGTTTCGAATAAAGGTTCCCCCCCCCCTTTTTGGGGTACAGCTTAAAAACTGCACCCACAAGAGCTGGTCCCCATTATCTGCATTTTTACGGTCCAAATCCATTTCCAGCACACAAACACACACACACACCGACACACTCACAAACACATGTTCTATAAGGGGTGAGGTATTTGGTTGCCTTGGCTTTAGTTTTCCTCTCATTTTTTTAGGGGGCTGGGGTGAAATGGAAATGGGAGGCAGCTGTAATAACATAATGGCCAACGAAATGTCTGGGCCTTAAAAGCAAAGGTAAGCTTAGCCTTCTATCTTTGTCTTTCTGCGTATGCGTGTGTTCACCGCCTCACTTTTCCTCCAAAAAACACTGAGAAAAATAATCAATAATTAATTAATATTGTTGCTTACTTAAGATTTGAGTTACGTGGAATGATTTTTTAATATTAAATTTATATTGAAATGAAAAATTTATATACAATACACTTTATTTTTCGCCTTTTTTCTGATTACACTTTTTTTCCCAAGTGCACACATGTTTGCGTAATTTTAACAAAAGTAAAAGCTAGAGAAACCAAAAAAAAAAAGCTAAAGCTAGCAAAAAAACACAACAAAGATGTGGAAAGTAGAAGAACTAACAGTAGAACGCAACAAACAAAGGCGGGAAAGAGACGGGAAGTGAGGGGCAAGCGAGATGGGTAGCATTTGAGATGGCAAACAAAAGTTGCTTGGCAGTAGCATAAATAAATAGAGATAATTAGACCATAACGACTACAAACACGAGACAAAAGACCCATACAAACACAAAAAAAAAAAGGAAAGGGGGGTAACAGAAGAAAAGAGACGGAAACAGGCGGCGGGAATGAGACGGAGCTAGTGGGACCTTCATTTGCGTCCTGCCTTTATATTTTTGCGGTTTTAATTGTATGGCTGCACATTTTGGCGACCACAGGAGAGCTCGGCATCCGAAAAAGTTGACCGCACAAAAATGCCGGCGAAATAAAAGGTAGCCAACACTAAGTTGACCATAATCTAGTTTTCATGGAGCACAGCCAGCAGCCAACAGCCAGCAGCCAGCGGGCCAAATTAGGTGAAGGATATGGCGGAGACCAACAACAAAATGTTTGTGGCCAACGTCAGCGGGAGCAGTGCCCCGAAATATGTAAATAAATTGGGCAAAAAAATGAGAGTCCCTCTTTTCAGTTAGGTGTTTTTTGCCACAACGAGTCCTGCGAAAGGAGCATGTGAAAATAGGGCATACGGGAGAATCGCAGAAGGAATATTTAATGTCCTGCTGAAAGTAATTAGTCCACAGGATTCTTTTTTTGTTCGTGGTATAAACCAATTTTAGATGTTTTTGAGTTTGCTAATTTGTAGAATAAATCTCAAACTTTACAGTTTAAAAATAAGATCAAAAACAAAATGTGAATAAATTGTAATTTGCAGGGTAGCCAGAAGTTACTTATTATTCTTTTTCCCAAAATTGAAAGCAAAACAGGAAAGAGAAAATGCAGAAATGCTGGGCAGCCAAATAAAAAAAATGGTGAAAAACCCAAACCCTGACCTTTTACTATTCCCTTTTTTGGAAGCCATGCCAAACCTGCCACATTTTACGAAAGCATTTTCCCCCATTAACATGCAAATCTGAGCTGCAGAAATTGGTGAATGGCCGAATCGATGACACGAAGGACACAGAAAGTAGCAGTCATTTCTAAGCCTGCAACCGAAACAGAATCCCTTTGGTTGTGAATGTATACATATATGCATCTATCTTTCGTTCGCAGGATCTCTCCACTTATTCTCTGGCGCTTAGTTAGTGTCTCAGTGTCGATTTGGATTTCGAATCGGATTTGAAACGGAATGTGGCAGTGGAATGAAAATCTGTTTATTTGCAGCGACACGTGACCGCTGGCCGCCACTCAATCAAGTTGAACTTTGAAGCGATTTCGATGCAGTGATATCCCGTAGCTGATGTTGTTTCAGATGCACCGAAAGAAATACATCAATACAGATTTTATTTTGATTATTTTGCAAATTATTGATCCAATACAAATCAGTATATTCTATTTGGTTTAAGCTACAAGCATATCTACTTCCAAAACAATTATTTCCCCTATTTAGATAACATTTTTTTTGGCAGTGAACTCTTGTGTATTGCTCATTGCCATCAATCAATGGGTTGAAGTTTTTGGCTTTGGCCTCTCTTGTTCGGTTTTGGCCCAGTTCTCCCAGGATCGGCACCCTTCAATCAATTACCTAATCTCATTACAACTTAATAGAG